ACAGACCCCAGAAGTCCTGACTCTCCCTCCTCTAATTGCTATATTAGGTTCTCAACCCATAGCCACTTACAGAAAGGGAGAGGGAGCTGTTGAATCCAGAACAGCCCCCTTCTCTGCTCAGAGAGGGAAAGAATCATAACAAGAGAACTGTGGATGGAGGAAACAGCTGATTTCTACCCACACAGGCAGAAGACCAGGTGTGGTAGTCCTCTGTTCTGAGATAGTCTGATATTGAATGGAAAACTGTGGGAGGAGAATGCTGAAGTGAATTGGAAGAAAGGGATAAAGGGATACACAATCCCAGCAATAGGCTGGGAGTGGTGAAGGAGCCAGAGTGATGTGACTGGAAAGATTCCCCCCTAACTATAAACCTTTGTCTGATGTGAGCGTTAATGACTCAATGAAAAAGAGAGGGCACGGCCCCCCCCCAAAAAACACTGACACCAAAGCTACAGTTGAAGAGTCATAGGGAAGGCAGAACTGAGGAGCTGTGCCCAAGACAGCAGGCCCATCAGCATCGGCGCAGTGAGCCAGGATACTTCAGCTTCAGTTCCTGCTTGAACTGGCGAAAGAGCACCTTGTTGCGCTGATTCTCAGCATCCTTCTGTGCATGGAACTCACTTGGCACCTTGAAGCCCTTGTGCACCAGGAAAGCATTGTTCAGCACTGAGAAACTGTACCCAGCCACATGGAGCTCACATGCCTACAAAAGGGGACAGGAGAGCTGTGAAGGAGAAACCAGAGTAACCCCCACCCTCATTGGACTCTGAAGTGTCCCACACTTTGTTACATCAAGTGCAGAAAAGCAGCTACCTCTAAAGTGGAGTGTGCAGGCTGTTTATAGAGGGATCCTTCCCCTGGTTCTGAGATGCAGCTGCTTCTGGGGTGGGGCATTGGAGCTGTTTTATACAGGGATCCCTCACCCAGTGCTCAGATGCAGTATGGGATGTGGAAGCTATTTCACAGCTTCACAGAACACTACAATTCAGGACAAAAAGTGGAAATTCACTGGATTGAAGCTGTAGAAAAAGGGACAAATGGTCTTTAGTGAACACAAGGGGCCAAGGCGCATTTTACATCTAATTGGACGGATGCCACTAACAGGTATACTTACAGCACCTCCTGGTGCAGCCTTGGGCATTGAGGATAGCATTGAATGCAAGGTGAAAGCACCTCTTACTGAACCCTCCACCCTGCAGCACAATGTCCCTACATTGTGCTGCTTCTCTTCTCCAGCCAGCAAATACTCTTGGACTACGATTGGATCAGGGCCAAAACCCCCTTGCAAGGAAGGAAATAATCACTCCTCTTGCCCTTGTGTCTCTATGAGGCTCAGTAAGCATGGCCTGAGGCTGTCCAGTGATCAGGAGATCACCTGGATGAGACTTCCCTGATTTGTTTCACCCATGGGTCAGGACACCCTGCTCCATCGCTTGGGGAGGCTGGGTGTATTTCTGGGGTGTCTCCCATGGCACTAATGCCCCCCCATTCCCAGTTAGGCAGGTACCTGGCTGATGCGGTTGAACCCATACTGCTTGAATCTTTCATCATAGGGTGGCACAGAGTTGGCACTGATGTAGAAGGGCTCCCAGGGGTCCCTCCACTCCACGGCGTAGGCGGTGTTCAGGGGACTGCCCAAGGGCAAGTTCAGCCAGCGTGAGTAGTTGGTAGGGGCCTGGCAGCGCGGGCAGAGCTCCTCGTAGAACGGCCGGATCTCCCCCACCTGATACAGCTGCAGTAGCTCGGTCTTGGCACCTGGGAGGCGCCGGGTATGCCGAATCTCAAAGGCGGGCACCACAAAGACACCCGGTGGCCCCTCAGCACCCAAGGTTGCTGCCAGAGCCAGAAAGGCCTCACGCAGCCCCTCACTGGGCAGCATGTCCACGTCCAGCACGAGGGTGTAGTGCCCAGTGGCTGCTCCCCTTGCCACGTTGCGCAGCAAGTTGTTGGGGTAGGAGGCGTTGGCACCCAGGGCATAGTTACGCCTGCCCACCCCGGCCCGTGCCAGCTTGGCGAAGACATCCCCACAGGCCTTCAAGCGGGCAAACTCCGCCCGGTCCTCCAGCTCTGGGAAGGCGGCCAGGTCCCCCGAGTGACACACCAGGTGGGCCCTCACCAGCTGGCGCACTGGCCCGCACAGTGTCCCCAGGGCGTAGAGCATCAGCGTAGCCAGCCGCACCTCGGCCGGGC